TCATGTTTTACCATATAAATAGATAACTGTTCAAAAGAAGAGAGTGTTTTTTTTTCTTCTAATGATAAATGTTAATTAGCATGGTAAATAGTATATAATTGTAGATTTATATATGATTCTTTGTCTGTCAGTTTGTTAAGAGTTTCATTTTGCTAAACTAGAAGGATAAAGAAACTTATCATCTAAACATAAGTATCATAATAAACAATTAGCAACTATTTAAATGTTAAATACACAATTTAGATTTAAAGACAACAAATAAAACAAGTTTATGTTTTATGTCATAAATATTGACATGAAAAGGAACATTAAGATAGAGCAGCATAAATAAAAAATAACGAGACTTAATTGTTTAAATTTATGACCAAAAAAGACAACAAAATTTTCAATGGATCACATTATTATATAGAAAGCTGTGTCTGTCATTTTCTATACATACATAATTTTGTCGTTGTGGGAACACAGCAACATTCCTATATCAAAATTGTTGTTGTGGGAACACAGCACAATTTTCCATAGAAAATTTTATCGTTGTGTAAACACACCAATATTTTCTATAGAAAATTTTGTCGTTCTGTGAACACACACCAACATTTTCTATACCGAAAATTTGTTCGTTGTGTGAACACAGCACAATTTCTATAGAAAATTTTGTCATTGTATGAACACAGCAAAATTTCTTTTTTCTAGTTCAGTTCTAGTTCGGTTCCAGTTCAGTTCTAGTTCAGTTGTAGTTCAGTTCTAGTTCAGTTCTAGTTCAGTTCTAGTTCAGTTCTAATTTAGTTCTAGTTCAGTTCTAGTTCAGTTCTAGTACAGTTCTAGTTCAGTTCTAGTTCAGTTCTAGTTCAGTTCTAGTTCATTCTAGTTCAGTCAGGTCTAGTTCAGTTCTAGTTCAGTTCTGAGTTCAGTTCTAGTTCAGTTCTAGTTCAGTCTAGTTCAGTTCTAGTTCAGTCTAGTTTCAGTTCTAAGTTCAGTTCCTAGTTTCAGTTATAGTTCAGTGTCTAGTTCAGTTCTAGTTCAGTTCTAGTTCAGTGTCTAGTTCAGTTCTAGTTCAGTATCCTAGTTCGTCTCTAGGTCAGTTCTAGTTCAGTTCCTAGTTCAGTTCTAGTTCAAGTTCTAGTTCAGTTTCTAGTTCAGTTCTAGTTCAAGTTCAGTTCTAGTTCAAGTTCAGTTCTAGTTCTAGTTCCTAGTTCAAGTTTCAGTTCTAGTTCAGTTCTAATTTAGTTCTAGTTCAGTTCTAGTTCAGTTTCTAGTTCAAGTTCTAGTTTCAGTTCTAGTTCAGTTCTAAGTTCAGTTCTAAGTTCAGTCTAGTTCAGTTCTTAAGTCAGTTCTAGTGTTCTAGTTCAGTTAGTTCAGTTCTAGTTCAGTTCTAGTTCCAGGTTCTAGTTTCAGTTCTAGTTCAGCGTTCTAGTTCAGTTCTTAGTTTCAGTTCTAGTTCAGTTCTAGTTCAGGTTTAGTTCAGTTCTAGTTCAGTTCTAGTTCAGTTCTAGTTCAGTTCTAGTTCAGTTTTAGTTTAGTTCTAGTTCAGTTCTAGTTCAGTTCTAGTTCAGTTCTAGTTCAGTTCTAGTTCAGTTCTAGTTCAGTTCTAGTTCAGTTTCTAGTTCAGTTCTAGTTCAGTTCTAGTTCAGTTCTAGTTCAGTTCTAGTTCAGTTCTAGTTCAGTTCTAGTTCAGTTCTAGTTCAGTTCTAGTTCAGTTCTAGTTCAGTTCTAGTTCAGTTCTTGTTCAGTTCTAGTTCAGTTCTAGTTCAGTTCTAGTTCAGTTCTAGTTCAGTTCTAGTTCAGTTCTAGTTCAGTTCTAGTTCAGTTCTAGTTCAGTTCTAGTTCAGTTCTAGTTCAGTTCTAGTTCAGTTCTAGTTCAGTACTAGTTCAGTTTAATCTAATCGCTCTAGTGTAGACTATTATCTAAAATCTACTTTAGGCTGTAGTTCAGACTCTAGTTTAGACTATAGTCCAGAGTCTAGTTCTACTTTAGATCACTACTTTAGATCAAGTCCAGACTCTAGTTTGGAATTTAACGTATATTCTATTCTATATTTATATCTAGTCCGTAATGCAAACACTAGTCCCTATATAAGTAATTCAAGCTGTACTCTATACTATACATAGTTCAGACTCTTAGCTTAACTAGGTTCCTGTTCTGCTGCAGATCCTAGTTCATATTCTAACCTAAACTCTAGTCTGTAACACAGATTTTTTTTAGTCTTTTGTATAGGTAAAATTAGACTATGGGCCAGAATTTAATTCAAACTATAGTTACAATTTAGTTCAGACGCTAGTTTAGACTATAGTCCAGCTACTTTAGTTTATATTTGTATTATAATCAAATCCGACATAAATGATTTCTTCTAAAAAATTTAATTCTTTATCAAATATCAAAGAGTTCACAACATTATTGTACTCAATCCCTATCAAGAAGTTCTCTCGAAAATCACTCTAACTTCGGATTAATACTAGTTTTATTTCAATTTGATTATGTTTTAAAATCTTACCATCTTCATGTTGTTGTTGCTGCTGTTGTTGTTGTTGTTGTCGATTTATTAGGTCCCCTAATAGATCTCGTATCAGAAATGATTTAGAATTTTGATTGTGCATGTTGGTTTTTTTAATAATAAATTTTAACACTTTTTTTACTTTTTTATGAAAGTATTTTTAAAAAATATTTTTTTTCAATTGCCGTCGGTATAAAATTCTTTATATCCTTTTCATTTTTTCGTGTTAAACCGTTTTAACCGCTAAATTGTTGTTGTTTAAGTCAACTAAAATGAACAACTATTTTGTTATGATTTTTTCACTTTTCACATTAACGTAGTGAAATCCCTTAATAGGTTTTATAGCAAAAAAAAATCAACTTTTTAAGCGACAAAATCCAAAAAAAGGATTTAAAGCTAAACAGTGCTAAACGAATTACAAATAAATACTAACAGTTATAGAGCATAAGCTGTCAGCCGAGAGCATCAAATTTGTCTAAAATAATTTATCACCATCATAATAAATCTTACTTACTCTTAGATTTGGTAAAATTAACGGTAAATTACCTCCCCCTTTAAGGACAGAGAGTATCTGGAAAAAAAACGTGCTATTTAAAAACGTTAGCCATTTTGTTTTGTTAGTGTGTCTCTTTTCTCTTATGAAAAGCTTTTTCTAAGGGTTGTTAGTACTGGGTGGGTGGTTGTAGCTTTATAAGGGTAAGCTTTTTTAAATGTTGTGATTTTATTGGTTAATATTTTGGGCAGTGTTTTTGTCTTCTTAACTCTACGTATTTCTCTTCCTTTTTTTCAGTTTTAAGCTAAATTGTTCGAGTATTTATTAACTTTTAAAAAACATTTATTTTGCCATTAAAAATCGATTTATTTAACTTTAATTTAATTGTGACTTTAATACTTTTTTGACATTGACTATAGTTCAGAACATTGGCTAGTCTATAGATTAGAATATTGACTAGTCTATAGACTAAAATATTGACTAGACTATAGACTACACCTATAGACTAGTTCCGTTCTAATTCAGTTTAGTCCAATTCTAGTTCAGTTTCTAGTTCAGTTCTAGTTCCGTTCTAGTTCGGTTCTAGTTCAGTTCTAGTTCTAGTTCAGTTCTAGTTCTAGTTCAGTTCTAATTCAGTTCTAGTTCAGTTCAAGTTCAGTTCTAGTTCAGTTCTAGTTCAGTTCTAGTTCAGTTCTAGTTCAATTCTAGTTCAGTTCTAGTTCAGTTCTAGTTCAGTTCTAGTTCAGTTCTAGTTCAGTTTCTAGTTCAGTTCTAGTTCAGTTCTAGTTCAGTTCTAGTTCAGTTCTAGTTCAGTTCTAGTTCAGTTCTAGTTCAGTTCTAGTTCAGTTCTAGTTCAGTTCTAGTTCACGTTCTAGTTCAGTTCTAGTTCAGTTCTAGCTCAGTTCTAGTTCAGTTCTAGTTCAAGTTCAAGTTCAGTTCTAGTTCAGTTCTAGTTCAGTTCTAGTTCAGTTCTAGTTCAGTTCTAGTTCTAGTTCAGTTCTAGTTCAGTTCTAGTTCAGTTCTAGTTCAGTTCTAGTTCAGTTCTAGTTCAGTTCTAGTTCAGTTCTAGTTCAGTTCTAGTTCAGTTCTAGTTCAGTTCTAGTTCAGTTCTAGTTCAGTTTTAAGTTCTAGTTCAGTTCTAGTTCAGTTCTAGTTCAGTTCTAGTTCAGTTCTAGTTCAGTTTCTAGTTCAGTTCTAGTTCAGTTCTAGTTCAGTTCTAGTTCAGTTCTAGTTCAGTTCTAGTTCAGTTCTAGTTCAGTTCTAGTTCAGTTCTAGTTCAGTTCTAGTTCAGTTCTAGTTCAGTTCTAGTTCAGTTCTAGTTCAGTTCTAGTTCAGTTCTAGTTCAGTTCTAGTTCAGTTCTAGTTCAGTTCTAGTTCAGTTCTAGTTCAGTTCTAGTTCAGTTCTAGTTCAGTTCTAGTTCAGTTCTAGTTCAGTTCTAGTTCAGTTCTAGTTCAGTTCTAGTTCAGTTCTAGTTCAGTTCTAGTTCAGTTCTAGTTCAGTTCTAGTTCAGTTCTAGTTCAGTTCTAGTTCAATTCTAGTTCAGTTCTAGTTCTGTTCTAGTTAAGTTCTAGTTCAGTTCTAGTTCAGTTCTAGTTCAGTTCTAGTTCAGTTCTAGTTCAGTTCTAGTTCAGTTCTAGTTCAGTTCTAGTTCAATTCTAGTTCAGTTCTAGTTCAGTTCTAGTTCAGTTCTAGTTCAGTTCTAGTTCAGTTCTAGTTCAGTTCTAGTTCAGTTCTAGTTCAGTTCTAGTTCAGTTCTAGTTCAGTTCTAGTTCAGTTCTAGTTCAGTTCTAGTTCAGTTCTAGTTCAGTTCTAGTTCAGTTCTAGTTCAGTTCTAGTTCAGTTCTAGTTCAGTTCTAGTTCAGTTCTAGTTCAGTTCTAGTTCAGTATTAGTTAAGTTCTAGTTCCGTTCTAGTTTAGTAGAAAATAATCCAGACTGTGGACTAGACTAGTACATACTAAGGACTAAATTTCGAGGCTATACTACACTCTAAACTATAATCTAGAGTGTAGACTATAGACTACAGTATAGTCCAACTATATGTTTTAAATAAATATTTTTTTTTTTTGTATTTTGCCATTAAAAATCGTTATTTTACAACTTAAACTCTGTTGTTATTTTAATACTTTTTTCGCAAAATCATAAACATGGATTATATTACTATCATAAGTGGCTATATGAAGATTTTCTCCACAAACAAAGTCTGTATTAATGTGGGGATTATGAAGTTCAGAGATTAAAGTACTGCAGGCAGTGGAAGGATCATTGGAGGCGCTTAGGCTGCCCTGAAAAGAAAACGAACTTAAGTTAGATTTTTATAGATCACAAAATTTTTCGTTTAGCTATTGAAGAAAATTTTTACACTTTTAAAACTTACCAACCAAAATTCATTACCCGGTAAGGCATTACCATCCCAGGCATATGAAACGACCAGCAACATGTCCTCGTATTCCGCAGGCTTTTGAAATTTAATAAAGTTTTAAGAAATCTTTAAAACAGTTTACTTTTTCATCTTACCAATTTCTCATTCGGATTCCTTTTCGATATACAAATCTTTATCCCCCCTTTAGGATGTCCGTGAGAAGCTATAAATCCATTATCTTTCAACTCTCCACATTCCATAAGATTAAAATAGAGAAATGCACTACACCAATATTATTTAGCAAAGGTAGTAAATAATTCAGACGTTCATAGAAACATTCCATAAAAATTTGTTCCTGCTGGACCGCTGCACGCCAAACACCCAAACCAAAACCCACCACATGTAAATAGGCGCAACCGGGGCGGGCTCGTTGATTAGCCTCCAATAGCAGTAAATCAAATGAAATAGCATAACGTTTTTTCATCATAACATTATCGAATATAACCAGACAGTTAAGAGTATCACCAAAACGTAAATTATCCTTGGTGACCTTATCATACAAATGATCTTCCTCCTCATAGAATTTATTCCAAAGTCGGCGATAATCTTGCAGTTTTTCTAAAGTTTTGACTTTTCTTAAAGGATTTAAAGCTTCCAAAAGGCTTAAATTTCTTTGAGGTTTATCCATTGCTTCACCATAACCATTCTCCCTAGTATTTTGTTGTCTGGTTATTGTGATATCCTGAAACTCCATGACTTCTTTTCGTTCAAAACGTGCCCCTATCATGCCTATTACCAAGCCCTCTCGCTCGATTTTATTTAAATCTTGTTCGCGTAAACCTTTATTATAGCGATCGCCATCATTAATGAATTCGGTTTTGGAGGAAACCGACAGAAGGGCCGAAATCTTTAATTAAAAAATAATACATATTGTTTTCTTAATTTTGGTAAAAGGTTTTACCTTTATTTCATCATAACTTAAAACATTTGCCAATATTAAAGGCTCTCTTTCTTCTGGAGTGCCCACTTTCAGATATTGGCGTCCAAAACCCGTAGCTCCTGTTATCAGCAAAAAATCATCATCGGTACCCACAAAACTGACACATCTTTTGGTTAACAAACGTTGTACGAATTCGCAGATCGATATATTTTTATAAAGTTTACGCTCGCAGGGAGAACCTGTGAAGAGAAGAATGTATATAATTGATACAAGTTCTAGTTAAATTCTAGTTCAGGTCTTGTTCAGTTCTCGTTCAGTTCTAGTTCAGTTCTAGTTTAGTTCTAGTTAATTTCTAGTTCAGTTCTAGTTCAGTTCTAGTTCAGTTCTAGTTCAGTTCTAGTTCAGTTCTAGTTCAGTTCTAGTTCAGTTCTAGTTCAGTTCTAGTTCAGTTCTAGTTCAGTTCTAGTTCAGTTCTAGTTCAGTTCTAGTTCAGTTCTAGTTCAGTTCTAGTTCAGTTCTAGTTCAGTTCTAGTTCAGTTCTAGTTCAGTTCTAGTTCAGTTCTAGTTCAGTTCTAGTTCAGTTCTAGTTCAGTTCTAGTTCAGTTCTAGTTCAGTTCTAGTTCAGTTCTAGTTCAGTTCTAGTTCAGTTCTAGTTCAGTTCTAGTTCAGTTCTAGTTCAGTTCTATGTTCAGTTCTTGTTCAGTTCTAGTTCAGTTCTTGTTCAGTTTTAGTTCAGTTCTAGTTCAGTTCTAGTTCAGTTCTAGTTCAGATCTAGTTCAGTTCTAGTTCAGTTCTAGTTCAGTTCGAGTTCAGTTCTAGTTCAGTTCTAGTTCAGTTCTAGTTCAGTTCTAGTTCAGTTCTAGTTCAGTTCTAGTTCAGTTCTAGTTCAGTTTCTAGTTCAGTTCTAGTTCAGTTCTAGTTCAGTTCTAGTTCAGTTCTAGTTCAGTTCTAGTTCTAGTTCAGTTCTAGTTCAGTTCTAGTTCAGTTCTAGTTCAGTTCTAGTTCAGTTCTAGTTCAGATCTAGTTCAGTTCTAGTTCAGTTTAAGTTCAGTTCTAGTTCAGTTCTAGTTCAGTTCTAGTTCAGTTCTAGTTTAGTTCTAGTTCAGTTCTAGTTCAGTTCTAGTTCAGTTCTAGTCCAGTTCTTGTTCAGTTCTTGTTCAGTTCTAGTTCAGTTCTAGTTCAGTTCTAGTTCAGTTCTAGTTCAGTTCTAGTTCAGTCTAGTTCAGTTCTAGTTCAGTTCTAGTTCAGTTCGAGTTCAGTTCTAGTTCAGTTCTAGTTCAGTTCTAGTTCAGTTCTAGTTCAGTTCTAGTTCAGTTCTAGTTCAGTTCTAGTTCAGTTCTAGTTCAGTTCTAGTTCAGTTCTAGTTCAGTTCTAGTTCAGTTCTAGTTCAGTTCTAGTTCTAGTTCAGTTCTAGTTCAGTTCTAGTTCAGTTCTAGTTCAGTTCTAGTTCAGTTCTAGTTCAGTTCTAGTTCAGATCTAGTTCAGTTCTAGTTCAGTTTAAGTTCAGTTCTAGTTCAGTTTCTAGTTCAGTTCTAGTTCAGTTCTAGTTTAGTTCTAGTTCAGTTCTAGTTCAGTTCTAGTCCAGTTCTTGTTCAGTTCTTGTTCAGTTCTAGTTCAGTTCTAGTTCAGTTCTAGTTCAGTTCTAGTTCAGATCTAGTTCAGTTCTAGTTCAGTTCTAGTTCAGTTCTAGTTCAGTTCTAGTTCAGTTCTAGTTCAGTTCTAGTTTAGTTCTAGTTCAGTTCTAGTTCAGTTCTAGTTCAGTTCTAGTTCTAGTTCAGTTCTAGTTCAGTTCTAGTTCAGTTCTAGTTCAGTTCTAGTTCAGTTCTAGTTCAGTTCTAGTTCAGTTCTAGTTCAGTTCTAGTTCAGTTCTAGTTCAGTTCTAGTTCAGTTCTAGTTCAGTTCTAGTTCAGTTCTAGTTCAGTTCTAGTTCAGTTCTAGTTCAGTTCTAGTTCAGTTCTAGTTCAGTTCTAGTTCAGTTCAGTTCTAGTTTAGTTCTAGTTTAGTTCTAGTTCAGTTCTAGTTCTAAATCCCAATCTATTCTTCTGGACTGTGTTCTAGTCTATAATTTTAAAATTTCAGATTACAAAACTTAAATTATTATTTTCATTTCAAATTGAGCGATATGTTCACTGAAACTCTGGCATCCCTGTAACTATGAATATAAAACAGCTTTCACCACACGAAGCTGCCACTCTGCAAAACAAATTGCTGCAAACTTAAACTTACCATATCGCAATTTATGTTCTAAAAAATCAATAATTAAATACAGAACTTTTTCATGTATCAACGGATAGGCGGAGGCAATTTGTTCTTTTATAAACAAATGACGTTCTACAGGTTGAGATTTCACACGACAGCTATCTATAGGAAACTGAAAATTATACGTTTTTTTAAATATCTATAAATTAATTAAAAATTTTATTTACCTCTATGGGAAATTTTTGAGAATTTTGTTTAAATTGTTCTAAATTTACGGTTCTTTTATGAAATTTAGTCTTTTGAAATTTGCGTAAAAGTTTTTCACCAAATTTTGTTAAAGTTCTATTGTAAGTTGTTACGGGCCAAATTTGTTCAAACTCTTTGCCGAAAACAGACATTTTGGGTAGAAATGTTTAAAGAAGACTAAAGGTTGAGATAAAAAAAACATTTTTTTTTGCGTTTGTTGGGCGCTAGTGTGGGGCGGGGATCGGTGGTGTAATGACCACATGAAAGTATTCACAGGGTGGCTAAAGTAATGTTTATTAAATAGCATTTAGCATTTATGTAGAATTATATTAAGTTCATTTTGTTTTTATTAAAAATATAATTATTACAAATTTTAGATTATGAGTAATATCATTCATCCTCAGATATTACTTGATCCTTTAGTATTTGCTCTACATAATCTTTTATATGTATTACCCCATGCTGAAGTGATGCTATATGTAGGTTATTGCCATTAACATATTCCGTATTAATATGGGGATTAAAAAGTTCCGATATTAAGGTACTACAGGCCGTAGATGGATCATTAGAAGATGCCAAACAGTGCTAGAAATAGAAGACCCCATAAAAAAGGTTTAAAACTTTTAACTAAAAACAGTTTCATAACACCTACCTTCCAAAACTCATTACCCGGTAAGGCATTACCATCCCAGGCATATGAAACCACTGGCAGCATATTGTCATAGGGCGGTAACTTTAAATATAATTAAAAATTAAACTCTATTACAAAAATATTTCTTCTCTAACTTACCAATTTATCATTAGGATTTCTTTTCGACATTAAAATCTTAATGCCCCCTCTCGGATGTTTGTCGGATTTAAATAAAGCCTCATTTTTCAAATCACCCCATTCGTTTAAATGGAACCAAGACAAGTGCACTACTCCTATATTATTAAGCTGAGGCAATAAATACTTTAAACGTTGCTGGAAACTCTCCATAAAAACTTTTTCCTGTTGACCGGTTTCCAACCAAACACCCAAACCTATACCCACTACATGTATATAGGCGTATTTGTTGCTTCTCAAGGCCCTCTGTTGGGCCTCTAAGAGTAAAGTGTCGAAAGAAATAGCAAAACGTTTTTTCATTTTTAAATTATCAAAAATAGCTTTCGATTTGAGAGTTTTCTCAAAACGTTTATTATCCACCGACACCTTTTGGTATAGAAAATCTGTTTCCTCATAGAATTTATTCCATACTAGTCTATAATCCTGTAATTTTTCTATTTGTGGCGTTAAAGGTTTGCTTGGGAATAAATATTGCCATAGACCCTTAGCGTTACCATTTTTGGTATCTGCTCCATAACCGTTTTCAAAAGTATTTTGAGTTTTGACTATTTTTATATCCTCACTTTCCATTCTATTGGGTCGCACAAAACGTGCCCCTATAAGACCCACTATTACACCACTCGGCTCGATTTTGTTTAAATCTTCTTCTATTTTACCACAATTAGCTCGAGCGCCATCGTTAATGAATTCCGTGTGAGAGGTAACGCTTAAAAGGGCTGAAATCTATAAAATTATCAAAAAATATATAGACTATAGACCAGACTGGACTATATCAAGGCTATAGATTCGTCTATAGTCAAAACTACAGAATAAATTGTAGTCTGGACTATAGGCTGGATTATAGCAGATTATAGACTATGGACTAGACCAGACCAAAGGTTAGACTATAGACTAGACTAAATACTAGACTATAGACTAGACTATAGACTATAGACTAGACTATAGACTAGACTATAGACTAGACTATGGACTAGACTATAGACTAGACTACAGACTAGACTATAGACTAGACTATAGACTAGACTATAGACTAGACTATAGACTAGACTATAGACTAGACTATAGACTAGACTATAGACTAGACTATAGACTAGACTATAGACTAGACTATAGACTAGACTATAGACTAGACTATAGACTAGAACTATAGACTAGACTATAGACTAGACTTATAGACTATACTATAGACTAACTATAGACTAACATATAGACTAGACTATAGACTATACTATAGACTAGACTATAGACTAGACTATAGACTAGACTATAGACTAGACTATAGACCTGAACCTATAGACTAGACTATAGACTAGACTATAGACTAGACTATAGACGAGACTATAGACTAGACTATAGACTAGACTATAGACTAGACTATAGACTAGACTATAGACTAGACTATAGACTAGACTATAGACTAGACTATAGACTAGACTATAGACTAGACTATACGAGACTAGACTATAGACTAGACTATAGACTAGACTATAGACTAGACTATAGACTAGACTAGACTATAGACTAGACTATAGACTAGACTATAGACTAGACTATAGACTAGACTATAGACTAGACTATAGACTAGACTATAGACTAGACTATAGACTAGACTATAGACTAGACTATAGACTAGACTATAGACTAGACTATAGACTAGACTATAGACTAGACTATAGACTAGACTATAGACTAGACTATAGACTAGACTATAGACTAGACTATAGACTAGACTATAGACTAGACTATAGACTAGACTATAGACTAGACTATAGACTAGACTATAGACTAGACTATAGACTAGACTATAGACTAGACTATAGACTAGACTATAGACTAGACTAGACTATAGACTAGACTATAGACTAGACTATAGACTAGACTATAGACTAGACTATAGACTAGACTATAGACTAGACTATAGACTAGACTATATACTAGACTATAGACTAGACTATAGACTAGACTATAGACTAGACTATAGACTAGACTATAGACTAGACTATAGACTAGACTAGACTAGACTAGACTAGACTAGACTATAGACTAGACTATAGACTAGACTATAGACTAGACTATAGACTAGACTATAGACTAGACTATAGACTAGACTATAGACTAGACTGTAGACCAGACTATATTCTAGACTATAGACTAGACTATAGACTAGACTATAGACTAGACTATAGACTAGACTATAGACTAGACTATAGACTAGACTGTAGACCAGACTATATTCTAGACTATAGACTAGACTATAGACTAGACTATAGACTAGACTATAGACTAGACTATAGACTAGACTATAGACTAGACTATAGATTAGACTATAGACTAGACTAAAGACTAGACTATAGACTAGACTATAGACTAGACTATAGACTAGACTATAGACTAGACTATAGACTAGACTATAGACTAGACTATAGACTAGACTATAGACTAGACTATAGACTAGACTATAGACTAGACTATAGACTAGATTATAGACTAGACTATAGACTAGACTATAGACTAGACTATAGACTAGACTATAGACTAGACTATAGACTAGACAATAGGCTACACAATAGGCTAGACTATAGACTAGACTATAGACTAGACTATAGACTAGACTATAGGCTAGACTATAGACTAGGCTATAGACTAGTTTGTAGACTAGACTGTGGACTAGACTATAGACTAGGCTATATACTAGACTATAGACTAGAGTATAGACTAGACTATAGATAAGACTATGGACTAGACTATAAACAAGAATATAGACTAGACTATAAACGAGATTATAGACTAATCCATAGCCTGAACTGGATTAGTCAGTAATATCATCATACCTTAATCTCATCATAACTTAAAACATTGGCCAGTGTTAAGGGCGCTTCTTCTTCGTCTGTGCCAACTTTTAGATATTTCTCACCGCAACCAGTTTCTCCTGAGATAAGTATATAACTATCAAAAAATCCCACAAAACTGGCGCAGCGTTTGCTCAGTAATCGTTGAACAAATTCAGTGGGTCCCATATTGGCATAAAGTTGTTTTTCTCGGGTGGTGCCTAAAAGGTTTATATAAAAGTTAATAAAAATCAATATTTAATTGAAAAGAAATTAAAATTGTATGTTTTGCTATATTTTTTAAAAAAGTTGTAAAAACAGTACTTTTGAAACGTTTATAGGCGATTTTGGGCATTTAGCTAGATTTCTGATAAATTAGTATAAAAGATACTTTTTGAAAAATTATTCTTCTATTTTTTAATTTAAACTTAAAAATATTGTGTATTTTGTTAGAAAAAGTACTTTTTTCAAAAAAGTACCTTTTTGTTATATTGACTTAATTTTATTAGCAAATAATGAAAATTATTTTACTTGTCAAAATTTTTGGATTTTTTAGTTAAAGAATTGAATTTTATGAGATATTAAAAAAAACGCTTAAACTCTAAAGCATCTGGCCACACTACGAACAAACCAGCTTATTAAGAAACTCACCACCAAAAGCTTTTTATCTGTCAAAATAAATACGCCCAAACTTACCATACTTTAATTTATGCTCCAAAAAGTCTAAAATCAAAAATAATACTTTCTCGTGTATCAGTGGATATGCCCAAGCAATTTGTTGTTGTATATCAGCATGACGTTCCACAGGTTGAGATTTAACACGACAGCTATCGATAGGGAACTGTAAATAAACAAAAATTCTTTTAATATTGAACTGTTTATTTAGCTTTTAGTATCACTTACCTTTAAAGGAAATTTATTGGATTTTTGTATAAATTCTTCTATATTTATTTCTTTTTTATTCGGTTTTTCTATTTTTAAACATTTCTGTAAAAGTTCTTGCGAAAATTTTGTTAACTTTATTGTTTTTTCACTTAAAGGCCAATCTTTTTCAAATTCTTTACCAAATACAGACATATTTCTTTCTTTTTGGAGGCAACAATGTTCGAAAGTTTGTTTAATACTAATTTTTAATACCGTTTAGTTGTGTGTTTATGTCTATACTGGATATTGTTGTTGGTTTTTGTTGTGGTCATGAGTCATATGTTGAGTTCCACGAACAAATGATTTGATTAAATATTAAGTTCGAGGGGGTTTTTTTCCCATAATTTAATTATAACTAGACTACAGACTAGACTATAGACTAGACTATAGACTAGACTATAGACTAGACTATAGACTAGACTATAGACTAGACTATAGACTAGACTATAAACTAGACTATAGACTAGACTATAGACTAGACTATAGACTAGACTATAAACTAGACTATAGACTAGACTATGGACTAGACTATAGACTAGACTATAGACTAGACTATAGATTAGACTATAGACTAGACTATAGACTAGACTATAGACTAGACTATAGACTAGACTATAGACTAGACTATAGACTAGACTATAGACTAGACCATAGACTAGACTAGACTAGACTAGACTATAGACTAGACTATAGACTAGACTATAGACTAGACTATAGACTAGACTATAGACTAGACTATAGACTAGACTATAGACTAGACTATAGACTAGACTATAGACTAGACTATAGACTAGACTATAGACTAGACTATAGACTAGACTATAGACTAGACTATAGACTAGACTATAGACTAGACTATAGACTAGACTATAGACTAGACTATAGACTAGACTATAGACTAGACTATAGACTAGACTATAGACTAGACTATAGACTAGACTATAGACTAGACTATAGACTAGACTATAGACTAGACTATAGACTAGACTATAGACTAGACTATAGACTAGACTATAGACTAGACTATAGACTAGACTATAGACTAGACTATAGACTATAGACTAGACTATAGACTAGACTATAGACTAGACTATAGACTAGACTATAGACTAGACTATAGACTAGACTATAGACTAGACTATAGACTAGACTATAGACTAGACTATAGACTAGACTATAGACTAGACTATAGACTAGACTATAGACTAGACTATAGACTAGACTATAGACTAGACTATAGACTAGACTATAGACTAGACTAGACTATAGACTAGACTATAGACTAGACTATAGACTAGACTATAGACTAGACAATAGACTAGACTATAGACTAGACTAGACTAGACTAGACTATAGACTAGACTATAGACTAGACTATAGACTAGACTATAGACTAGACTATAGACTAGACTATAGACTAGACTATAGACTAGACTATAGACTAGACTATAGACTAGACTATAGACTAGACTATAGACTAGACTATAGACTAGACTATAGACTAGACTATAGACTAGACTATAGACTAGACTATAGACTAGACTATAGACTAGACTATAGACTAGACTATAGACTAGACTATAGACTAGACTATAGACTAGACTATAGACTAGACTATAGACTAGACTATAGACTAGACTATAGACTAGACTATAGACTAGACTATAGACTAGACTATAGACTAGACTATAGACTAGACTATAGACTAGACTATAGACTAGACTATAGACTAGACTATAGACTAGACTATAGACTAGACTATAGACTAGACTATAGACTAGACTATAGACTAGACTATAGACTAGACTAGACTAGACTAGACTAGACTAGACTATAGACTAGACTATAGACTAGATTATAGACTAGACTATAGATTAGACTAGACTATAGTCCACGCTATAGACTAGACTATAGACTAGACTATAAACTAGACTATAGTCCAGACTATAGACTAAACTATAGACCAGACTATAGGCTAGACTATAGACTGGACTATAGACTAGACTATAGACTAGACTATAGATTAGATTATAGATTAGACTATAGACTAGACTATATACTAGACTATAGACTAGACTACAGACTAGACTATAGACTAGACTATAGACTAGACTATAGACCAGACTATAGACCAGACTATAGATTAGACTAGACTATAGTCCAGGCTATAGACTAGACTATAGTCCAGACTATAGGCTAGACTATAGGCCAGAATATAAACTAGACTATAGTTTAGACTATAGACTAAACTATAGACCAGACTATAGGCCAGACTATAGACTAGACTATAGACTAGACTATAGTCCAGAGTATAGTCCAGTCTATAGTCAAGAATATAGTCCAGACTATAGACTAGACTATAGTCCAGACTATAGACTAGACTATAGTCCAGACTACAGACTAGACTGTAGTCCTGACTATAAACTAGACTATAGTCCAGGCTATAGACTAGACTATAGTCCAGACTATAGACTAGACTATAGTCCAGGCTATAGACTAGACTATAGTCCAGGCTATAGACTAGACTATAGTCCAGACTATAGACCAGACTATAGACTAGACTATAGTCCAGACTATAGACTAGACTATAGTCCAGACTATAGACTAGACTATAGTCCAGACTATAGACTAGACTATAGTCCAGACTATAGACTAGACTATAGTCCAGAGTATAGACTAGACTACAGTCCAGAGTATAGACTAGACTATAGTCCAGACTATAGACTAGACTATAGTCCAGGATATTTACTAGACTTTAGTCCAGGATATATACTAGACAAAACTCCAGACTATAGACTACACTCCAGCATATAGACTAGACTATAGTTCAGAATACGGTCTGGCTTTGGAATGGACTATAGTCCAGGCTATCGACTAGACTATAGTCTGTACTATAGACCATAGTCCAGACTATAGAGTAGACTACACTGCAGTCCATACTATAAAATAGACTATAGTCCAAATTATTGACTAGACTATAGTCCAGACTATAGATAAGACTATAGTCCACAATATAGACTAGACTATAGTCCAGGCTACAGACGGCTATACAATATTCCACATTATAGGCGAGATTATAATCCATAGTGGACTATAGCCCAGAATATACATATATGTTTGTATAATCCATTCGATTAATCATACAAGAAAAATAACTACAATGTTTGTCTTTAACTAATTTCGCTGATTAAGATTTATTGACATTAATTTTGATAAAATTTCTTTAAAAAAAATTTAACTTAAAATCTTTTCGACATAATCTTTTATATGTATAATACCGTATTTGGGAGACGCCAGATATAGATTATTACCATTGACATATTTCGTATTAATATGAGGATTAAATAGTTCGGTAATTAAAGTACTGCAAGCAGCCGAAGGATCATTAGAGGAAACCAAAGAACCCTATAGAAAATATAAATTCATAAAAAGTTTTAATAAGTATTTTAGCACATTACTTACCATCCAAAATTCATTACCCGGTAAGGAGTTACCATCCCAAGCGAATGACACTACGGGCAACATACCCTCATAGGGAGAAGTCTTTGGAAAAATATAAAATATTACAAAGAAAATTATAACTTTTTCTTCCACTTACCAATTTTTCATTAGGATTTCTATTGGAGATTAATATCTTTATGCCTCCTTGAGAATGTGTAGCCGATTTAATAATGGACTCGTTTTTTAAATCTTGCCATTCTTGCGATTTAAACCAAGAAAAATGCAACACTCCTATATTGTTCAGTTGTGGCAATAGATATTTCAAACGCTGCTGGAAACAAGCTAAAAAGATTTGTTCCTGTTGTGGTGCGGCCAGCCATACACCCAAACCTATACCCACCACATGTATATAGGCTAATTTTTGGACCTTTAAAGCTCTTGCATTGGCCTCCAATAGCAGCAAATCAAAAGGTAAAGCAAAGCGTTTTTTCATCATTAAATTATCGAAAATAGCCTCAGGCTTGTAGCATTCCCCAAAGCGTTTATTATCTAAAGAGACTTTTTTATATAAATGATCTGATTCTTCATAGAACTTTTGCCAGACTTTTCTATAATCTTGCAATTTTTCCAATTGCTCAGTTTTTTTTATGGGCAAATAAATATTGCCATAAAGTGGTGGGATCTTTTAAATCTCCCTCCGTTGTTGTTCCATGACAACCATAACCCATTTCTGTAATATTTTGTTCTTTGCAAATAATTATATCTTCATATTCCATTCTAAAGGGACGGGCAAAACGTGCCCCTATAATACCCACGACTACACCCTGTCTTTCGATTTTTTCATAATCTTTTTCAATTTTACCACCATTATGACGACGACCATCATTTATGAAATCGCTATGTGAAGCAACCGACAACAGTGCTGAAATCTTTAAATAAAACGTTATCACAAGAGAAATTGTAGTTTTTTTTTTTAAGTAATTACCTTAATTTCATCATAACTTAAAACATTTGCCAGTACTAAGGGTTCCTCTTCTGCCTCGGTACCAATTTTAAGATACTTTTCTCCATGGCCCGTTTCTCCTGTGATCAGTATATAGCTGTCATGAAATCCCACAAAACTGATGCAACGTTTCGTAAGTAAACGTTGTACAAATTCAGTTATGGTCATGTCTTTATAAAGTTGTTTTTCTATAGTGGATCCTAAAGGGAAAATTATATTTTAGTCAGTGCTATTATATTTTCTGTTATCTGGACTATAGTCTAATCCATAGTCTAATATACATAGTCTGGACTATAGTTTTTTCTATAGTCTGTGCTATAGTCTTTTCTGTAATTTGGAATATAGTGTTGTCTGAACTATAGTCTAGTCTTTTAACTCTAGTCGTGACTAGTGCTTAGTCTATAGCAGTGGTGCTCAAACACATACTACCATAGACTACCATAGTTTTATTTGTGTTGCTAAAGCAGCAGAGAACAGAATTCAATTCAAAATAAAAGTATACTAATAAAATGACTACAAACTATAAAGTATATGCTAACTGTCAAATATTTATTATGGATTTTGACAGCCAGCGTATAGCAACGTCTATATATAAAAAACTATCAATTGTTCTCTCATGTTCTCCTACATTCATTCGGCTTTCTCAAAATTTTGTTGTTGTATTTCTGTGTGTATTTTAAAAACGTCGCACACAGACCTTGCTTTGACAAGTGCTGATCAGCAACTGATTTGATTTTGTTTTTCAAGTTGAGAGCAAACCAACTGATATTGCTCATTATAAAAAGAAGAAGAATTAAACTTGTAGTGTATGTGTATCAACTTAGCGTCAGCAGAATTTTCTTACCCTATCACGCGTGCTATGACACGGCCATATTGAGCTTCTCTGGTCTATAGCCAAATCTATAGTTTGAACTATGGTCTAGTCTATAGTCTAATCTATAGTCTGGTCGATAGTCTGGTCTATAGTATAGTCTATAGTAAAGTATATTCTGTTGTCCAGTCTATAGTCTATAGCCTAGTCTATAGTCTAGTCTATAGTCTAGTCTATAGTCTAGTCTATAATCTAGTCTATGGTCTAGTCTATAGTCTAGTCTATAGTCTAGTCTATAGTCTAGTCTATAGTCTAGTCTATAGTCTAGTCTATGGTCTAGTCTATAGTCTAGTCTATAGTCTAGTCTATAGTCTAGTCTATAGTCTAGTCTATAGTCTAGTCTATAGTCTAGTCTATAGTCTAGTCTATAGTCTAGTCTACAGTCTAGTCTATGGTCTAGTCTATAGTCTAGTCTATAGTCTAGTCTACAGTCTAGTCTACAGTCTAGTCTATAGTCTAGTCTACAGTCTAGTCTATAGTCTAGTCTATAGTCTAGTCTAGTCTAGTCTATAGTCTAATCTATAGTCTAAGTCTATAGTCTAGTCTATAGTCTAGTCTATAGTTAGTCTATAGGTCTAGTCTATAGTCTAGTCTATAGTCTAGTCTTAGTCTAGTCTAGTCTAGTCTATAGTCTAGTCTATAGTCTAGTCCTATAGTCTAGTCTATAGTCTAGTCTATAGTCTAGTCTATAGTCTAGTCCTATAGTCTAGTCTATAGTCTAGTCTATAGTCTAGTCTATAGTCTATCTATAGTCTAGTCTATAGTCTAGTCTATAGTCTAGTCTATAGTCTAGTCTATAGTCTAGTCTATAGTCTAGTCTATAGTCTAGTCTATAGTCTAGTCTATAGTCTAGTCTATAGTCTAGTCTATAGTCTAGTCTATAGTCTAGTCTATAGTCTAGTCTATAGTCTAGTCTATAGTCTAGTCTATAGTCTAGTCTATAGTCTAGTCTATAGTCTAGTCTATAGTCTAGTCTATAGTCTAGTCTATAGTCTAGTCTATAGTCATAGTCTATAGTCTAGTCTATAGTCTAGTCTATAGTCTTCTATAGTCTAGTCTATAGTCTAGTCTAGTCTAGTATAGTCTAGTCTATAGTCTAGTCTATAGTCTAGTCTATAGTCTAGTCTATAGTCTAGTCTATAGTCTAGTCTATAGTCTAGTCTATAGTCTAGTCTATAGTCTAGTCTATAGTCTAGTCTATAGTCTAGTCTATAGTCCTAGTCTATAGTCTAGTCTATAGTCTAGTCTATAGTCTAGTCTATAGTCTAGTCTTAGTCTAGTCTATAGTCTAGTCTATAGTCTAGTCTATAGTCTAGTCTATAGTCTAGTCTATAGTCTAGTCCATAGTCTAGTCCATAGTCTGTCTATAGTCTAGTCTATAGTCTAGTCTATAGTCTAGTCTATAGTCTAGTCTATAGTCTAGTCTATAGTCTAGTCTATAGTCTAGTTCTATAGTCTAGTCTATAGTCTAGTCTATAGTCTAGTCTATAGTCTAGTCTATAGTCTAGTCTATAGTCTAGTCTATAGTCTAGTCTATAGTCTAGTCTATAGTCTAGTCTATAGTCTAGTCTATAGTCTAGTCTATAGTCTAGTCTATAGTCTAGTCTATAGTCTAGTCTATAGTCTAGTCTATAGTCTAGTCTAGTCTATAGTCTAGTCTATAGTCTATAGTTTAGTCTATAGTCTATAGTTTAGTCTATAGTCCAGTCTATAGTCTAGTCTATAGTCTAGTCTATAGTCTAGTTTATAGTCTAGTCTATAGTCTAGTCTATAGTCTAGTCTATAGTCTAGTCTATAGTCTAGTCTATTGTCTAGTCTATAGTCTAGTCTATTGTCTAGTTTATTGTGTAGCATATAGTCTAGTCTATAGTCTAGTCTATAGTCTAGTCTATAGTCTAGTCTATAGTCTAGTCTATAATCTAACCCATAAACCACAGTCTAGTGTATTGTTTGAACTATTGTCTCGTATATACTCAGGATGTTTGTTATCTGCTGTATAACCTAGTCTGTAGTCAGCACTGTAGACTAGTCTATAGTCTGAATTTTGTCAGCATTTGTAAAACTTACCATACTTCAATTTGTGTTCCAAGAAATCTACTATCAAATACAATACTTTCTCATGCATCAGTGGATATGCCGAAGCAATTTGTCGCTGTATATCAACATGACATTCCACCGGTTGTGATTTTATACGACAACTATCGATGGGGAACTAAAAAAACAAAAATTGCCAGTAAAAATTATACTTTATATTTCAATTATCTCACTTTTATGGGAAATTCATTAGATTTTTGCATAAATTCTTGTATATCCACTAGTTGTTCCTTAGGTTTTTCAATATCCAAACATTTTTGTATGAGGTCTTGGCCAAATGGTGTTAAATGTTTATCAAAATCATACGTTGGCCAATCGTTATGAAAATCCTTGCCAAAAAGTGGCATACTTGAGCTCAATGTTTTGCGAAAGACTGATGTGTTGGATGCAAGTTACAAGTTGTTTTTGTGTTGCAGCTTTTGAACACGTACTTGTTTGTTTTCAAATGAATTACTCAAAAGCTTTTTAAGGGAAATTTGATATTGTGAAATTCTACAAAGTTTTTGCAGTTAATACGAAAAAAATTTAAAACAAGATTGTTGATTGACAATAAAAAATAAACTGGATTTATGATGTAATTTTTAGTATATAATGAAATTATTCTACTAAACATCTGGGTACTAATTAGTTGCAGAATTTAAGATAGTACTTATAAAAGTACTTTTTAAGGTAAAAGCTTTGTACCTACTGCTCTCTCTAGTTGTTTTCATAGTTGGATACTGATGCTGTAAATCTCCTTGCAATCGGAGTTATAACATAAGTTTGGAGTTACTGTCCGCCTTTAGAAAATTTATCTAGACTTGGTTCTCCATTATAAAAACTTTGCTAAAATAAACTTTATTTATTTTAAAACATTTATAAGTTTACACAAAAAGCAACAGTTAAGATTTAATAAAAGTACAGTTATTGTAAAGTTCATTAGATTTTCTTATAAATTTCAATGAAATTTCTTAATTTAATACTTTTTCAGCATAATCTTTAATATGTATTAAACCATATTTGGGGGAAGCTATATAAAGATTATTGCCATTAACATATGCTGTATTAATATGAGGATTATAAAGTTCCGTTATTAAGGTACTGCAAGCAGCAGAGGGGTCACTTGAAGAGGTTATTGAACCCTAGATAGAACATATGAAGAGAATCTTAAGTTTTATTTAATAATAATGGCAGTATAATTACTTACAATCCAGAACTCATTACCCGGTAAGGCATTACCATCCCAAGCGAATGAAACCACCGGCAACATATTTTCATAGGGTCCAGTCTTTTAAAAAAAGAGAAAATCATTTATTCAAAAATTCTTTACATCTTACGACTACAGTTTGTTTATAGTCCCGACTATAGTCTATAGTCCCGACTATAGTCTATAGTCCCGACTATAGTCTATAGTCCCGACTATAGTCTATAGTCCCGACTATTGTCTATAGTCCCGACTATAGTCTATAGTCCCGACTATATTCTAATGTCACGACTATAGTGTATAGTACCGACTATAGTCTATAGTACCGATTATAGTCTATAGTACCCACTATAGCGACTATAGTCTATAGTTCCAACTATAGTCAATAGTCCCCACTACTGTCTATAGTCCCGACTATACTCTATAGTCCCGACTATAGTCTATAGTCCCTACTATAGTCTATAGCCCCGACTATAGTCTATAGCCCTGACTATAGTCTATAGCCCCGACTATAGTCTATAGCCCCGACTATAGTCCATAGTCCCGACTATAGTCTATAGTCCCGTCTATAGTCTATAGTTCCGACCATAGTCTATAGTTCAGACTATAGTCTACAGTCCCGACTGCAGTATATAGTCCCCACTATAGTCTATAGTCCCCACTAAGTCTATAGTCCCCACTATAGTCAATAGTCCAGACTATAGTCTATAGTCCCGACTATAGTCTATAGTCCCCGACTATAGTCTATAGACCCTACGAAAGTCTATAGTCCCGACTATAGTCTATAGTCCCGACTATATACTGTAGTCCCAACCATAGTCTTTAGTCCCGACTATAGTCTATAGTCCAAAAAGTATTTCTATTTTCTCACTTACCAACTTTTCATTAGGATTCCTAGATGATATCAAAGTCGTTACACCTCCCAGGGGATGTGTTTTGGACTTTAAAAATCCTCCATTTTTTAAATCTTGCCATTCGTTTAAACGAAACCAGGACAAATGCACCACTCCTACATTATTAAGCTGGGGCAATAGATATTTCAAACGTTGCTGAAAGCATTCCATAAAGATTTTTTCCTGTTGAGGTGCCGCCAACCATACCCCCAAACCTATGCCCACTACATGTATATAGGCTTGTTTATCGGCTCTTAAAGCTCTAGCATTCGCCTCCAACAGTAGTAAATCAAAAGCGATTGAAAAGCGTTTTTTCATCACCAGATTATCAAAAATGGCTTCATATTCGAAACATTTACCAAAACGTTTATTATCTATCGCGACTTCTTCATACAGGTGATCTTGTTCTTCGTAGAATTTATTCCATACTCTACGGTAGTCACGGGCTTTTTCCTGATTATATGATTTCTTAACCGGTCTTGAGCCATAACCATTCTCTTCGGTATTTTGTAGTTGTGTAATTTGTATATCTTCATATTCCATGCGTTCTTCACGGGCAAAACGTGCCCCTACCAGTCCAACTACTACACCCTCTCTTTCGATTTTACTTAGATCTGTTTCAGGTCTACCCGCATTCTCACGCTGGCCCTCATTAATGAATTCCGAATATGAGGTAATGGATAAAAGAGCTGAAATCTGGCAAATATCAATTGTAACTTTTCTTATAGCTTCTCATTTCTAGCATTACCTTAACTTCATCATAACTTAAGACCTTGTTTAAGACCAGAGGCTCTTCTTCCTCTTCTGTGCCTATTTTTAAATAATCATCTCCTTGACCCGTTTCTCCGGTAATCAGCAGATATTCATCTATGGCATCCACAAATGTGACACATCTTTTACTTAGTAAACGTTGTATGAAATCGGCTATGCTCATATTGGTATAAAGTTGTTTTTCTTTAGAGGATCCTAGCAAAAAATGAAAAATAGAAAAAATATATAGTCGGTACCATAGAATATTTTCGGAACTACAGGCCATAGTCCGGATTATAGTCTAAAGTTCCTATTCTATAGTTCCGACTTATTCTATGGTCCCGACTATAGTCCATAGTCCCGACTATAGTCTATAGTGCCAACTAAAGTCTATAGTCCCAACTATAGTTTATAGTCCCAACTATAGTCTATAGTCCCAACTAAAGTCTATAGTCCCAACTATAGTTTATAGTCCCAACTATAGTCTTGACTATAGTCTTTAGTCCTGTCCTGACTAGTCTGTAGTCCCGACTATAGTCTATAGTCCCGACTATAGTCTATAGTCCCGACTATAGTCTATAGTCCCGACTATAGTCTATAGTCCCGACTATAGTCTATAGTCCCGACTATAGTCTATAGTCCCGACTATAGTCTATAGTCCCGACTATAGTCTATAGTCCCGACTATAGTCTATAGTCCCGACTATAGTCTATAGTCCCGACTATAGTCTATAGTCCCGACTATAGTCTATAGTCCCGACTATAGTCTATAGTCCCGACTATAGTCTATAGTCCCGACTATAGTCTATAGTCCCGACTAAAGTCTATAGTCCCGACTATAGTCTATAGTCCCGACTGTAGTCTATAGTCCCGACTATAGTCTATAGTCCCGACTGTAGTCTATAGTCCTGACTATAGTCTATAGTCCTGACTATAGTCTATAGTCCCGACTATAGTCTATAGTCCCGACTATAGTCTATAGTCCCGACTATAGTCTATAGTCCCGACTATAGTCTATAGTCCCGACTATAGTCTATAGTCCCGACTATAGTCTATAGTCCCGACTATAGTCTATAGTCCCGACTATAGTCTATAGTCCCGACTATAGTCTATAGTCCCGACTATAGTCTATAGTCCCGACTATAGTTTATAGTCCCAACTATAGTTTATAGTCCCAACTATAGACTATAGTCCCGACTATAGTCTTTAGTTCCGTCCTGACTAGTCTGGAGTCCCGACTATAGTCTTTAATCCCGTCCTGACTAGTCTGTAGTCCCGACTATAGTCCCGACTATAGTCTATAGTCCCGACTATAGTCCCGACTATAGTCTATAGTCCCGACTATAGTCTATAGCCCCGACTATATAGACCGAATATAGTTTATAGTCCAGGCGATAGTCTATAGTCCAGACACTAGTCTATAGTCCCGACAATAGTCTCTAGACTCGACTATAATCTATAGTCCCAACTATAGCCTCGACTATAGTCTATAGTCCCGACTATAGTTTATAGTCCCGACTATAGTCTATAGTCCCCACTAAAGTCTGTAGTCCCCACTATAGTAAATGTTAATAGGGGATTTTTGTGATTTAAATTTTCACCTACAAAAAAGCTTTTCTCTTTTAAAGTTGCCATGTCTTTTAAAACTTACCATACTTTAATTTGTGCTCCAGAAAATCTATTATCAAATACACCACCTTTTCATGTACTACCGGATAGGCAGATTCAATTTGCCGAAGTATAAAGGGAAGACGTTCGATTTTTTGCGATTTTACACGACATGTATTTACGGGAAACTGTTAACAAAAATTCTTAAAAAATTCTCGATTTATGAAAAAATTTTTTAAGGTTTAACTTACCTCTACAGGAAATTCCTCCGATTTTTGTAGAAATTCCAAAATTTCAATTTTTTTATTTTTGGTTTTTCTACGCTCAAACATTTTTGTAAAAGTTCATAACCAAAATTTGTTAGATTTTTAGTGAAATCATATAAAGGCCAATCTTTTTCAAATTCTCTGCCAAATATAGACATTTTTTTTCCGATAATAATAAATTCAAAATACTGATCGATAATAATTTCGGTATCTAATAAAAAAATTGGTTTTTATTTTGATTATTAACTCTTTATTGTTTATGTTGTTCTCTGTAACTGCGTAAGAACGTTTGTTTTTGGTATCTGTTTCTTGAATAAGTTTCACATACATACTTCATTTATTCCATTGTTGTTTTTGGTTCCAAAAAATCTATACTATATATTTATATGTATACATGCCTTATTTCACAAATACAGTTAATGCAACTCATACAAATACTTTCATTAAACTTTCTTATCAGCCGGCATCTGTTTTATAGGTGTTGCCAGTTTATTTTTTAAGAAAAATATGGGATTAAATTTTCCCCCAAAAAACATGGAATTTATATTAGTCCAAATGCATAGTATATATTGTACTCTATAGTGTCCAGACTATGGCGTATAGTCCAGAATATAGTCTATAGTTCAGACTATAGTGTATAGTCGAGACTATAGTCTATAGTCTGAACTATAGACTATAGTCTGAACTATAGACTATAGTCTGAACTATAGACTATAGTCCAGACTATAGACTATAGTCCAGACTATAGTATATTGTCCAGACTATAGTCTATAGTTCAGACTATAGTCTGTAGTCCAGACTATGGTCCATATTCCAGGCTATGGTCTATATTCCAGACTATAATCAATAGTCCAGACTGAAGTCAATAGTCCAGACTATAGTCAATAGTCCAGACTATAGTCTATGGTCCAGGCTGTAGTCTATAGCCCAGACTATAGTCTGTAGTCCTGACTATAGACTATAATCCAGACTATAGTCCAGACTACAGACTATAGTCTATAGTGCAGACTATAGTCTATAGTGCAGACTATAGTCTATAGTCCAGACTTTAGTCTATAGTCCAGACTACAGACTATAGTCCAGACTACAGACTATAGTCCAGATTATGGTCTGTGGTCCATACAATAGTCTATAGTCCAGACTGTAGTCAATAGTTCAAACTATAGCTTATAGTCGAGACTATAATCTATAGTACCGAGATATACTCTACAGTCCCGACTATAGTCTATTGTCGCGACTATTGTATATAGTCCCGACTATAGTCTATATTCCCGGCTATAGTCTATAGTCCCGACTATAGTCTATAGTCCCTACTATAGTATATAGTTTCGCATATAGTATATAGTCGCGACTATAGTCTATAGTTCCGACTTTAGTATATAATCCCGACTATAGTCTATAGTTTCGACTATAGTATATAGTCCCAACTATAGTCTATAGTCCGGACTATAGTTTATAATCCAGATAATAGTCTATAGTCGAGTCTATAGTCCATACTATAGCCAGAATATAGCCTATAGTCCAGACTATAGCCTATAGTCCAGACTATAGTCTATAGTCCAGACTATAGTCTATAGTCCAGACTATAGTCTATAGTCCAGACTATAATCTATAGCCTAATTATAGAACTTTATTTACTCCCAAATTAATCACTACAACAGTTTGGATTTTTCATTAAGTAGTTTCTTTATTTATCAAATAAATTTAAATATTTCCATTAGAAAACTTTACTCTCTTTCCAAAACTTTCTTGGTAAACTCCTGTATATGCAAGATACCATATTCCCCCGATGCAATATGTAAATTTTTACCATTAACATACTCCTCATTAATGTGAGGATTATGAAGTTCTGATATTAAGGTACTGCAGGCAGTAGAAGGATCATTGGATCCACTTAAAGAACCCTTAAAAATTTAAGAAATTATAAAATATTCCAATATATCTAACTCCTTTACTTACCACCCAAAATTCATTGCCCGGCAAAGCATTACCATCCCAGGCATATGACACCACCAATAACATATCCTTAAATTCCTGAGGTAATTTGTCATTGGGATTACGATTGGACAAAAAAGTTTGAATGCCTCCTAGGGGATGTGTTTTGGATTCGATAAAACCATTATGTTTCAAATCCCGCCATTCTGTCATATGGAACCAGGAGAAATGTAGGGCACCAATATTATTCAGCTTTGGCAGTAAATATTTAACACGTTGGCTAAAACATTCCAAAAATATTTTAGTTTGATCTCCAGATATTTTCCAAACACCCAAACCTATGCCTACTATATGTATATAGGCTTGTTTCTTAAATTTTTCTGCTCTCGCCTGGCTCTCTAGCAGCAGGGTGTCAAAGGTTACGGCATAACGTTTCTTCATTAAAACATTGTCGAATTTGCCCGCTGCTAAAGTAGTAAATCTTGGATTATTGTCAGGTACTTGGGAGTATAAGAAATCGGGACTTTCGTAAAATTTCTGCCATAATTTTCGGTATTCAATTGCACTTTTCGTTTCGTCATCAACTTCTGCTACGTTCTGCTTTTCACCATTAAAACCATAACCTCTTTTCCCTTGATTTTGTTCCTTAGTTATTAAAATATCTTGATATTCCATAACCATAGGCTTTTCAAATCTAGCTCCTATAATACCCACTACAATACCTTCCCTTTCGATGGACTTAACATTTGTTTCTATAACACCATTATTATTACGATTACCATCGTTGATTAGCTCCGTTAGAGAGGTAACCGATAAAAAGGCTGAAAGCTTTTTTTTTAAGGAATTTAATAAGATTATAGAATACCACAAACGATAAGAAATACCTTGGCTTCATCGTACGAGAGGACATCTTTAAAAATTAAGGGCTCCTTTTCTTGAGGTGTTCCCACTTTAATATAATTATTTATGGCTGTACCTTTTTGGCCTGACATTAACAGATAAAAGTCACCGGAGCCCATAAACGTCACACAACGTTTGTTTAGCAAACGTTGTACAAAATCGGTTAGAGATAGTTGAGGATAGAGTTGTTTTTCTAGAGGATGTCCTAAATTAAAGAAGATATGTGACTAATTTTTGGATAAAGAACTATTTTAATAATAATAATAATATATAAGAAACCTAGATAGAATAAGAATACAGTTTATAGTTTAGTTTATAGCGCAAACTAGAGTCTATAGTCCACACTACAATCTATAATCCAGAATATAGTCCAGATTATAGTCTAAAGTTCAGATTAAAGTCTATAGTCCAGATTATAGTCTGTAGTCCAAATTGTAGTCTATAGTCTAGATTATAGTCTATACACTGTAGTATACAGTCCAGACTATAGTCTTTAGTTTAGACTTTAGTCTTAGTCCCGACTATAATCTATAATCACGACTATATTCTATAATCCCGACTATAGTCTATAGTCCCGACTATAGTATATAGTCTCTATACTATGGTCTATAGTTCCGACTATAGTATATAGTCCCGACTATGGTCCATAGTTCCGACCATAGTATATAGTCCATACTACAGTCTATAATCCAGAATATAGTCCAGATTATAGTCTGTAGTCCAAATTATAGTCTATAGTCCAGATTATAGTCTATACACTATAGTATACAGTCCAGACTATAGTCTTTAGTTTAGACTTTAGTCTTAGTCCCGACTATAATCTATAATCACGACTATATTCTATAATCCCGACTATAGTCTATAGTCCCGACTATAGTATATAGTCTCTATGCTATGATCTATAGTTCCGACTATAGTATATAGTCCCGACTTTGGTCCATAGTTCCGATTATAGTATATAGTCCCGACTATAGTCTATAATCCAGAATATAGTCCAGATTATAGTCTAAAGTTCAGATTAAAGTCTATAGTTCAGATTATAGTCTGCAGTCCAAATTATAGTCTATAGTCCAGATTATAGTCTATACACTATAGTATACAGTCCAGACTATAGTCTTTAGTTTAGACTTTAGTCTAAGTCCCGACTATAATCTATAATCACGACTATATTCTATAATCCCGACTATAGTCTATAGTCCCGACTATAGTATATAGTCTCTATGCTATGATCTATAGTTGCGACTATAGTATATAGTCCCGACTTTGGTCCATAGTTCCGACTATAGTATATAGTCCCGACTATAGTATATAGTCCCGACTATAGTCTATAGTCCCGATTATATTCTATATTCTAGACTATAGTCCCGACTATATTCTATAGTCCCGACTATATTCTATAGTCCCGACTATAGTCAGTAGTCCCGTCTATAGTCCCGACTATTGTATATAGTCCCGACTATAGTCTATAGTCCCGGCTATAGTCCGACTATAGTCTATAATCCCGACTATAGTCTATAGTCTCGACTATAGTCCCGACTATAGTTTATAGTCCCGACTATAGTTTATAGTCCCGACTATAGTTTATAGTCCCGACTATAGTCTATAGTCCCGACTTTAGTCTATAGTCCCGACTATAGTCTATAGTCCCGACTTTAGTCTATAGTCCCGACTATAGTCTATAGTCCCGACTATAGTTTATAGTCCCGACTATAGACTATAGTCCCGACTATAGTCTATAGTCCCGACTATAGTCTATAGTCCCGACTATAGTCTATAGTCCCGACTATAGTCTATAGTCCCGACTATAGTCTATAGTCCCGACTATAGTCTATAGTCCCGACTATAGTCTATAGTCCCGACTATAGTCTATAGTCCCGACTATAGTCTATAGTCCCGATTATAGTCTATAGTCCCGACTATAGTCTATAGTCCCGACTATAGTCTATAGTCCCGACTATAGTCTATAGTCCCGACTATAGTCTATAGTCCCGACAATAGTCTATAGTCCCGACAATAGTCTATAGTCCCGACAATAGTCTATAGTCCCGACAATAGTCTATAGTCCCGACAATAGTCTATAGTCCCGACTATATTCTGTAGTCCCGACTATATTCTATATGCTATACCCCGACTATAGTTTATAGTCCCGATTATATACTATAGTCCTGATTATATTCTATAGTCCCGACTATAGTCTATACTCCAGAGTATGGTAAATGTGGGAGGGGAGTGTTGGCCACATCACTGTTGCTTGTTGTATTGAACTGGGTGGTTTTGAAAAGCTCAAATATTTGAGTCAGCCGGTGTAAAAGCTTTAGGTTAAAAGTTTTTTGTGTAAAATGAGTTGCCAGATATAGTTTTAGTTTGTAACGTGAATTTTGGGAACGAAAGAATACTGTGTTTCAAGGGGAAATTTTTTAAAAGGCTTTTGTTTAAAGAAAAAATAACTTATTTATTTAGATTAAAAAAAATATTGCACAATGTTTAGAATAAATTATTTACAATAAATAACACAAACAGAATGTTGCAACATAAAACATTTAATATTTACAGATTTGCTACAAAAATTATTATTCGACCATTTTCTGGGCATAATCAGCTATATGTATAATGCCATATTTTTCAGTGGCCACATGTAAATTATCACCATTGACATATTCATCATTAATATGAGGATTATGTAGTTCAGTTATCAGAGTACTGCAGGCAGTAGAAGAATCACCAGTAGATTTTAACATTTTCTAAAGAGAAAACATAAAGATTAATTTAATAAAGAGTTTACTTATATGCAGACATCATTTAAAATTTACCATCCAAAACTCATTACCCGGTAAGGCATTACCATCCCAGGCATAAGAAATAATCAAAAGCATATTATCATTTTCTGGGGTTTTTAATTTATCAGCAGGATTTCTTTTCGATAGAAAACATTTAATACCACCCTGAGGATGTGTTTCCGATTTGAAAACATAACCATTTTTCAATTCACCACATTCGCTTAAAGAAAACCAAGAGAAATGTAAGACTCCAATGTGTTGTAACTGAGGCAATAGATATTTTACTCTTTGCGTAAAGGTCTGCAGAAAAATTTGTTCTTGTTGTTCAGCTGCCTTCCAAACACCCAAACCTATACCCACTACATGAACATAAGCTTGTTTTTCTTCAGCCTTAGCCCTAGCCTCAGCCTCGAGCAGTAGAGTATCAAAGGATATAGTATAACGTTTTTTCATTATTAAATTATCAAAAATATCATCTTTATTTTTCGAGGCACCAAAACGTTTGCCATCCTTAATCACTTGATTGTACAGAAAGTCTGGCTCCTCATAAAAATGTTTCCATATACGACGATAATCTTTATGTTTAGAATTGGTAGTATCCTCATCTATGCCGAAACCATAACCATTTTCTTGAGTGTTTTGTGTTTTCGCTATAATAATATCTTGAAATTCCATAACATCTCTTCTTGTTAAACGGGCCCCTATAATACCCACTACTACTCCCGATCTCTCTATAAGAGATTTATTTTTCTCTATTACTCCACAATTCTGACGATTACCATTGTTAATCAGCTCCGTATGAGAAGAAACGCTTAACAAAGCCGATAACTTTAGGGGAAAATTTTTTCATATTAATATAATCTCACAGCTGGTTTGTGATCGCTTACCTTGACTTCATCATAGCTTAAAACATTTTTCAATATTAAAGGTGGTTTTTCATGTGCTTTGCCCACATCCATAAAACCACTGCAACCTCGCTCACGTGACAACAGTAAAAATTTATCATTACGACCAAAGAAACTGGCACAACGCTGTGTTAGAAGTCGTTGTATGAAAGTGGTCAGTGAGAGTTTTTCATAGAGTTCTTTTTCTAGGGCAGTGCCTGGAAAAGGATTTTCAATTAAGAGGGAAATATAAGCTGAAGAAAGTGTAAGTCAAATTTGCAAGAAAATCAAAACCCTTTATTGCAGCTAATTCAGTTTCAGTGATTCAGTTATAAGTTTCCAAAATAATCTGTACTTTTTATTCGATTAACAGTTTTGTGGTCATCTCAATGTTATATTTAAACTATTTGTGGTTTAAAAAGCTTTAAATGAAATCGGATTTGTAAAGTCTTTCAACATTATTTATTACATACAAATATGAATTCTTTATATAAACCGATAAAATAAACCAAATTCTAGAGTTTAAAGACGCTCGTTCTTAAAAGAATTAAATCCCCATATAAATTTCATGAACGCTATATTCTACTCTATAGTCTAGACTATACTTCAGCATATAACCCAGACTATGTTTTATTCTATATTCAGGACTAGAGTCTACACAATTTCCAATCGTATTTCAGAACTTTCTAATAGTATTTTAAAAATTGTATTTCAGAATTTTCCTTTTGTAGTCTAGTCTATAGTCTAGTCAATAGACTAGTCTATAGTCTAGTCAATAGATTAGCCTATAGTCTAGTCTATAGTCTATAGTCTAGTCTATAGTCTAGTCTATAGTCTAGTCTATAGTCTAGTCTATAGTCTAGTATATAGTCTAGTCTATAGTCTAGTCTATAGTCTAGTCTATAGTCTAGTCTATAGTCTAGTCTATAGTCTAGTCTATAGTCTAGTCTATAGTCTAGTCTATAGTCTAGTATATAGTCTAGTCTATAGTCTAGTCTATAGTCTAGTCTATAGTCTAGTCTATAGTCTAGTCTATAGTCTAGTCTATAGTCTAGTCTATAGTCTAGTCTATAGTCTAGTCTATAGTCTAGTCTATAGTCTAGTCTATAGTCTAGTCTATAGTCTAGTCTATAGTCTAGTCTATATTCTAGTCTATAGTCTAGTCTATATTCTAGTCTATAGTCTAGTCTATATTCTAGTCTATAGTCTAGTCTATATTCTAGTCTATAGTCTAGTCTATAGTCTAGTCTATAGTCTAGTCTATAGTCTAGTCTATAGTCTAGTCTATAGTCTAGTCTATAGTCTAGTCTATAGTCTAGTCTATAGTCTAGTATAGTCTAGTCTATAGTCTAGTCTATAGTCTAGTCTATAGTCTAGTCTATAGTCTAGTCTATAGTCTAGTCTATAGTCTAGTCTATAGTCTAGTCTATAGTCTAGTCTATAGTCTAGTCTATAGTCTAGTCTATAGTCTAGTCTATAGGCTAGTCTATAGTCTAGTGTATAGGCTAGTCTATAGTCTAGTCTATAGTCTAGTGTATAGGCTAGTCTATAGTCTAGTCTATAGTTTAGTCTAAAGTCTAGTCTATAGTCTAGTCTATAGGCTAGTCTATAGTCTAGTGTATAGTCTATAGTCTAGTCTATAGTCTAGTGTATAGGCTAGTCTATAGTCTAGTCTATAGTTTAGTCTAAAGTCTAGTCTATAGTCTAGCATATAGTCTAGTCTATAGTCTAGCCTATAGTCTAGCCTATAGTCTAGCCTATAGTCTAGTCTATAGTCTAGTCTATAGTCTAGTCTATAGTCTAGTCTATAGTCTAGTCTATAGGCTAGTCTATAGTCTAGTCTATAGTCTAGTCTATAGTCTAGTCTATAGGCTAGTCTATAGGCTAGTCTATAGTCTAGTCTATAGGCTAGTCTATAGTCTAGTCTATAGTCTAGTCTAGTCTATAGTCTAGTCTATAGTTTAGTCTATAGTCTAGTCTAGTCTATAGTCTAGTCTAGTCTAGTCTAGTCTAGTCTAGTCTAGTCTAGTCTAGTCTAGTCTAGTCTAGTCTAGTCTAGTCTAGTCTAGTTAGTCTAGTCTAGTCTAGTCTAGTCTAGTCTAAGTCTAGTCTAGTCTAGTCTAGTCTAGTCTAGTCTAGTCTAGTCTAGTCTAGTCTAGTCTATAGTCTAGTCTAGTCTAGTCTATAGTCTAGTCTAGTCTAGTCTAGTCTAGTCTAGTGTAGTCTAGTCTAGTCTATAGTCTAGTCTGGTCTATAGTCTAGTCTAGTCTAGTCTATAGTCTATAG